AMSAYACATAAGTTCACTCATCATCAAAGCAATACATATTAAAATAATGAGGCATCACTTTCCATCTCTCATATTTAAAACTGAAAAACATTAGTTCAGGCCAGGGTATGAAGAAATGGCATTTTCACACACTACTGCAGAAACACACGCTGGTCCAGCCTTCTGGGGGCTCCACGGCAGTGCCATGAAATGGCAAATGTGTGTCCTCTTTACTCTGCAACCCACTTCTCCACATCTGCACTATTCAAACACTTAACTTCACACAAATACGCAGAGCTGTAAGTGAAAAATGGAAGCAACCACTCTTCTTTGACAGCAGAAGAGTCGAAAGCCCGATGTTCACCTGGATACCACACTTTCCAGAGAGGCCCAGGTGTGCTGTGTGGAAAGTCATCTGTGGCTACCACGCATGTGCAGCAGCGCACGTGTCACACAGAAAAGGTGAGCAGGAACAGGGGCCAAAGGGTTCATTCATGGTGGTCCCCCTGGGGCTGGTGATTTTTTGAATGGGGGTTGCTCTTTAGTACATCAGTCTAAATTGTTGAATTTTCACAGTTACTCAGATGTATATATATATAAAAAAAGACTACATTTTTTTTTAAAGGGGGATGGTTATCCTATGTAAAGGTATATGTAAAATTAACGATTCTAGCAAAGATAAAAGTTCTATCCAACAGCACATCTAAGGYTTAAAAATTGTTTTGTATATGCCCAAAGATTTTTCCATATCAGAGAAAAGGATACAAATAGAAGTAGATTTTTCCAAGGTTTTGACACTAAATATTCTTAATGAAAGCAACAAGAATCCACAGATTCTAAGACAAATCTCGGGGAGACTGTGTCCTCCTTATGGGGGCCTAGGGTGAGCCTCTGGCCGCCTCATCAAGCCTCCTTATTTACACAAGGGGATGAGGACCTGAGGGACTAAGGTGTTCAGTCACCTGAATAAGAATACAGAATGCCAACAATGCCCTGGCTCCCTCAGGGCAGAGCTGAGGACTGAAGGGTGTGACTCTTGGGAAGTACCCTGCACACTGCTGGTGGCACCCAGTGTGTGTCCATCCCCTCTTCTTTTTTCCTTCCCTAGTAATAGTTTGCTGAGTAAACTAATTTTTTTAAGAAGGGTCCACAGGGAAAATACTGATGCGAGAGACCCTGATGTCTTTTCTGCCCTATCCTCCTGTCCCAGGGACTTCTCTGAGAGTGGGATCTCCATGCACATGCTGTCCTGTGATGTGGGCGGCCCAGGGCACTGTGTCCATCCACTGTGCTCTCTAAACTTCTGCTGGCCTTGTTTCCCACTACCCTAAGTTTCTGAGTGGACTGCATGCCGATGCCAAGGCGGCCCTGGTGAGGAAAGCCTGGTCCTTACCCATGGAAACCAGAGACTCATAGTTGCCCCTCATCACATTCTTGTAGAGCTCCTTCTGCCACTCAGATAGGTTTCCCCACTCCTGCTCCGAGAAATGGACGGCGACGTCATCAAATGTGACAGGGACCTGAAACCACAYGACAAGGTCAGCTTGGACCATGAGGACGGCAGTCACAGGTGGTCAACTCCCCTGACTCACCCCAGGCCCTGGCTCAAATACCTCCTCCTCAGGACCCAGAGGGAAAAGTCCATACCCACAGCTCTGGGGCTTCACCAGGACCTCTCTGGAAGTCTGACCACTGTCCTGGCCACAAAGAGTGGGGGAACTGTGTTGCTTGGTCCTTTGCCTCTCACAGGATAGCTCTTGCTGCTCTGAAGCATGATCTGAGGACCAGTAGTAATATTGCCACCAGGGAATGTGCTGGAAATGCAGACTTCCAGGCTCCACCCGGACCCACTAAATCCACCTGCATTTAGAAAGACCCTCATGGGTTCACCTGCACAATAAAGTAACAAAAGGGCTGGCTCAGGCACATAATCTGTGTTTTCTAATACAGGACTGTGGAAAGGGGCAGCAGCACAGAGGAACAGAAAGAAAACCAGTCTATACTTAGCTCCTTCAGAACTTTCTGGAAAAATACGATTAAAACCTAGCCGTTCTCTAGTTTTTTAAGGATACCTCCTAAAATCAGTTTCACTAGCATGAATATGATTTATAAGTGAACTTCACCTGCAGCCTCCCTCAGGCCACCCTGGGGGTGAACCACTGATTAATGCTCATGGTGCTCAGTATCTATAGGGTATTACTTCCAGAACCCCYAAAGATACCAAAATCCAAGGATGTCAAGTTCCTTTTAAATAATAGTGTAGTATTTGCATGTAACCTCTGCAGGTCCTCTTGTATACTTTAAATCATCTCTAGAAAACTTACAATACCTAATACAATATAAACGCCACCTAAATAATGGTTAGACTCTTTAGGGAATAATGACAAGGAAAAAAGTCTGTGTGTGTTCAGAACAGACACAATTTTCTTTTGTCAGATATTTTCCAACCATAGTTGGTKGAAGCTATGCAGGACCTGAGCTGTGGAGGGTGGCTGTATCTGACTGCAAGCCTCTGCATGGCACTCTCTTTAGGCTTTGGCTTTGCCTTCTGTCCTCACCTGTTGAGGACAGCTCTACTGAACAGGCTTCTAAATGGTGATCCTGATCCTGGGGGCAGTTTTATACTAGTGCTTTTACCAACAGCAGAAATATCTTGCTTTTGTGAGTCCTGTTCTTGGTGAAGCTACACTGGCAACTAGGTTTGGGTATGTTTTATTCTTTCTCAACAACTGCTTTCCTTTTCTTTCAATTAAACTAAATTCCTAAATCACTCCAATTCAGACCACTTCTTGGGAAGMCCCAGGGGGACGAGCGTACCTTGGGAACCTCTCCATTGCTCCCTGGCGGCAGCCGCAGGATCCAGAAATTTCTGTTTTTCAGCAGGTTTTCCATGTTCTCCAGGCGCCTCTGTAGAAGCCCATACTCCTGCAGCAGGGTCCCCAGCACGACCCACTTGCTCTCCAGATGGTTTGCGAATTCCACGGCCGTCTTCTCACAGTCGGCTATCTTTTTTTCATTTGTCCCCGTCCTGCCCTCCAGGGTCAGTAGCCTCATGGCCTGGGCCTCCAGTTTCCTCTCCACAGCTTGGACAGCAGCCCACACGGCCAAGCGGGTGATCTCTGCTGTGGGCAGTGGCTGTTCCTTCTGGGCTGCAGAAGAGACCTGGAAGGGGATGTCCTTTTGGGAAGCTGGGCTCTGGAGCAGGGGGTCCATGTCAGCCTCAGSGACTGTGGGGGAAAGAGTCAGGGGGTCTTTCTCAGGAACTTCAGGGGAGTGGAGTGGGGCTTCCTGATGGTGGGCGGAGTGGGAGAGAAGGGAGATTTCCTGGTCAGCAGGATACTGGGTCTCTTCCTGGGAAGCCAGGTGGCCCTGGAGATGCGTCTCTTGTTCAGAAGTGGCAGGATACAGGAGTGACGGTCCYTTCTGGGGTATATGCGGCATCTGGCCAGAAGTCTCTTGCTTGGGAGCACTGGAAGTTTGGGGCAGGGAGCCTTGCCGGGGAACAGTAGGCAACAAAGAAGGAATTTCTTTGGGGGGAAGAATTCGGGATGGGAGTAGAGTTTCTCTGGGGAGTCCAGCTGGGGCCTGATGTAGGGTTTCTTCTTGCGGGACACTCGAGAATGACAGAGGTGATGAGCGTTGGTTTTCCATGTCCTGCTGCTGGAYCTGTATTCAAGGAAAGAAAGGAAAAGACAGGATTGAAGGCCACAGTCTCCAGCTGACAAAATAAATCCCTAATGTTCATATTAAGAGGTCATCAGCTTTTGTAGCAATAAGAAATGCCCCATAAACGTGAATCTCTTCTTGAGACTTCAGCACTGATTTGACATCAATGATAAAGCTGTTGGGAGCACCAAATAAAAGACAGCTATGCCACCCCGTTTCCTGTAGCGTGTACCTTTCACAGATTTCATCTTGTGAGTAGTGTGGACAAGGGAAGGGTACAGACATGAGTTAGAACACTTGGCTATCGCCCATCTGAACCCACGGCTGCCTGTGTCATCCTGGCCCACGTTTCTGACCTCTCTAGCTTCTGCTACACAGAAGAGGGGGACAGGGAGACCAGGCAGCAGGTGATTCAGCCCTCCTACAGGAGCCCAGGTCTCTGGGCAGGTGGGCCCTGGGCTAGGTGTTCTCTGGCGGGCTGCGTTCCTAGTGGGGACGTGGGAGTGAGGAAGAATGGGGGACTGGAAGGACAGGACAGGAAGCCGCGCAGAAGTCAGCCCATTTAGAGACTTGGGTCAGAGTGGTGCGGCCTAGAACCAAAATAAAGATGTTTCCTTTTGGGATTTCAGGGATCCTCACTCTCCCTATTCCCACCTCACCACATCCACCTGAGAGAACTCTAATCACCAGGGAGGTGAAGCCATGTTCTTCCGTGTGTGACCAGCTCTGTATTTACCCTGTGAAGCGGTACCTTTATTGTAATGAAAAGAATTTCTCCTATAACAATTTTTGTCCATCTCTTCATGATCTTCCTTCAATGAATCTGCTCAATTACTATGTTTTATATACAAGTGATCTTTAAAGTAATTAAATCTTCCATTTTCTCTATTTGAAAATTAGACCTTCCCTGGTGTGCAGACTGATTATATAGCATGTGCTCAATAAACATCAGCTGAATGAATCAACAGTAAATTGCTGAGTCACAACAAAATTATGGGAATAAATAATGAAGTTCCTTGAGTCACCTATCAGACAAATCCAAAACTTCTTTAGACCTCTACAGTTTTCTTTCTTTTATGTGTTCATTTATTCATGTATAAGCAGCTTGGCTGAAATGACATCACACTTTTAAGCTAAGAATTGAAGATTCAAGAACCCTTCAGCAAAAGGTCTTTGAGAAAGTACCATGCATTTGTCCTTTGATGTGAGAGCTAATTAGTCAGGAATAGCTATAATCATTCAAAGTTTATTGTATCATGAACTGTGATAAGCATTTTAAAGGATTACCTCATTTAGTTCTCACAAAACTCTATGAAATAGGGACTATCGGAATCACTATCCACACCTAGCAAATGAAGGTACTAAGGATAGGAGAGGCTAAGTAACTTGGCCCAAGGCACACAGCTGCCTGGCTCCAGAGCCTGTCAGTTGCCTCTGGGCCTCACTGTCCACTGAGGCAGCCAGTAGGTATGTGCTCTGATCAGAGGCTGGAGGATAATCCAGACCTGTRGGAGGCTTCCTGGGGGTGGCCAAGATGGGGTGGAAGGCCATGCCCTTAAAGACATTACCATTTACGCAGGGTCATGGGCCCCTAACATTTATTGAGTTCACAGATGCCTTCAACCTGAAGGCTCATCAACTAAGCCCACTCTCAACCCGTCACTGTTCCCAGGTGGAGGCAGGTCTGGGTGGCCCCTTAGGCAGAGGCCCCAATCACAGGTAAAGGCTAGCATAATGCAACACAATAGGCACATTATGGCCCTGTCTTCAGGGGGGGATTAGGATATTTGCCTACAGCTAGTAGGAAGAAGTGAAAAATCCCTGGAGGCCAGGTTAGCCTCCCAGAGGAATACAGGGGTTTAAGTGAAACAATGAAAAAAAAGCTCCAGTGTAGAAAATAAAGCCAGCAGAGCAAGACATCTCTACCAACCAGTCTAATCAGCTCAAAGGAAAATACTATTTCTTTGCTTTCTATTATTGGACCATCTCTCTCCATTTTGGGATTTGGGGAACCGGAAAGGGATGAAGGGCCACTGGGGCATGCCCCCTCCCCCAGACCCCAAACAAAAGCAGCCTGCTATAATTTCATCACTCCCAGTAAACCTGTGGCTTGATCTCACCCCAAGCAGAAAGAAATGATCAAACAGAGGGGCAGTAAATTATCTAAAACAAATAAGCCCAATTCTTAAAACCGCTGGGAGGGGCTAGGGTTTGAATTCTTCTGAACCATTCTTCATAGGATTTAACAGTCCCACTCTTCCCCGTGTAGCATAAGCGATGAGGCCTCCAGGATTCATGCCACATTAGTAGAGATACACATAAACAACTATCYGACTTATGCAAGCTGTGCAATTTTCTTGCATGACCCAGGATGGTTCACCCAGAATTATATACCTTTAAAAGGCCCTGAAGAGGCCCTAAACCCAGAGGTCTGGCAGGTAAAAATCTTCATTTTATTTCCCAAGAGTTTCTATTATTATTATTATTATTTTTAAGAACTGGGGGGGGGGGTGTTTAGAAAGCCAAGCATGCCCTCCCCCTCCTTCCTGTACTCCATAGGAAAGTGAGGCTCAAAGGCAYTGATTCTCATGCAGTAAACCCCACTAGCACAGCCAGGGCGTCTCAGTGAGCACACCGGGGKCTGAGGGCGTTTAAAGGCTGGTTTTCAAGAATGGTGCACCGAGGAGAAACWGCAGCCCCAGGCCCCATCCGTCAGGACACCCAAAGTTCGGTCCAGGCCCTCCAGACGCAGAGGCTGGCAGCGGTCAGGGCCAGAGCCGGAAGGGTCACCAGCTCCTCGCCGCGGAGACACTCGCAGGGGCGCTGCCCGGCCTCCCCTCCTCCCCGACGGGCCGCAGCCACCGCCCGCCCGCCCAGGCCGCCCCCTCCCCGTCCAGGCCCGCAGCCCGCCAGGCAGGCCTTTCGGAGGCTGCGGGCACCGTGCCACGGATGAGTCGCTACGTGACCTTGGGGCAGGCAGGGCAGGTCGCCGCCAGGTGTCTGTGCCTCAGTGTCTCCGCTCTGCGAAATGGGAGAGCCGCGTCAGCGCCGCGCCCGGGCCGGGAGAGGCTCGGCAGGCCGAGCTCTGCGGAAAACGTGCGGGCGGCCACCCCGACGGACGCAGCGCCGGCTCCGCAGCGAGCGAGCGCGCCGCCGGCGCCCCACCTCGGGGCCGCGTGTGCCGGGGCCCGGCGGCCGCGCAGCCTCGCACGGACGGCGGCCGATCCCCGGCCCGGCGCCGGCCCGCAGCGCCCCCCCAGCCCCAGGGCGCGCGAGCCCTCCAGGGCGCCCCCTCCCCCGCCAACGTCGCAGCGCTCCCGTCCCTTACCGAGACCCCAGGCCGGGCCGCCGAGCCTGGGGCACGCAGGCCGTCCCCAGAGCCCCGAGGCCGCGCGTCCGTGCGCGCGCGGGCCGCCCTCACCGGCGCCGGGGCCGCCTCGGCCATGGCCCTGCGCTGTCCGGCCCGGACCCCGCGAGCCGCCGCCGCCGCCGCCGCCGCTGCGCGCAGGCCTGGCCGCCCGGTCCTCTCCGCGGGCGGCGCCGCGCGGCCCTGCCTTCCCCGCGGGGCTCGCGCGCGGCCGTCGGGCCCCGGCCTGTTCGGGGCGCGCGGGCGCGGGGCCGCGGAGCCCGGGCGGCGGCGTCGGAGCGGGGCGCGCGGCTGTGCGGGCGGCCCGGCCGGCTGCGCCCCGGCCGCGAGCTGGGCCCCGGCCCTCAGCAGCGGCCCCCGGCCCGCGCGCCGCCCCTCTGCGGCCGCCGCTGCGACCCCGGCTCCGGCCCCGGCCCCGGCTGCGAGCTGCGCTGCCGTCCCGGCGCCTCTTCAGCAGGGGAGCTGCACAGCAGCTGCCATGTTGATACAAACTGCATCCTGGGAGGCATGTCCCTCTCAGGCCGTTTAAAGAGAAACACTCCGAGGCTCGTCGGAGGCTGCCGGAACCCAGACAGCTCCATCTACAGCCGGTAGGAGCGAACAGTGTCGAGCGAGCAGCCAGGCGGCGACGGACACGCCCTGAGCCGGGCCAGCCCGTCGTGGAGACCGGGCCGAGCCGCCGGGCCTCCCCCCGGGACCCCGGGCCTCTCACCTGGGGTCCTCCCGGCCGGGCACCCGCGGGCGAGGCGGGCGGCGGGGCGGAATTCGGAGCGCGCAGCCCCGGCGACGTGCTGGGGTCTGGAGGCGGGTCGATTGGCTCCGACAGCCTTCCTCCCGCCGGCTCCTGCTCCCCTCACACCCCGGACCCGGGCCGTCCCCTTTCAAAACCTGCGCGCACAAAGGGATCTGAGGAAGCCGTCACACCAGAGAAAGCCCCGAGTTCATGTGACCAGCGCGGTGCAGCCCGGGTCCCCGGGCCGCGGGCTGCGGTTCCCAGGGTGGCGAGCCGGTGGGTGCTTTTGTGAAGCGCCCGAGGGTGGTTTTCCACACGAGGGGAGCGAATTCCTCCAGTCCTCGGGCGCCGGCCTGCCGGGGGCCAGACGGGGCACTCGGGAGGAAACTGAGGCCGAGAGGGAGCGACCCCAAGTGACGTTTCCGTCCCTCCTGTGAGTGCTTTCTAGCCAAGAGGGTCCCCAAAGGAGAGGCAGAGCTTCCCTGGCCTTGCTGGACAGGCTCACTTAGCGACGTTTATTGGGAGCCGAGTGGGGCAGGGACGGGGGGTGAAATGGGGCAGGGGAGGGGGGCATTAGCAGGTGCCCGGTTCCCCGCGGTGAATCCCCACTGGACCGCGCAAGGGAAGAAGGGGCAGAGCGTGTGCCCCCCTCACGAACCCCTGGGAGGTCAGGCGTGCAGCTGGCCTGGAGGGCCATGGGAGCAGACGGCCCCAGGCCACCGCTCAGAGCAGAGCGTCTCTAAAAACGGAAAGTTATGGATACTGATCAGGCCAGGCCACCCGCTCCGGTCCCCTCCCACCACACCGTGGCTTTATGCATTTCCTGTCACGTGTGCATCCACAGTTGCATGCTACTGATTTTGATGTTTTAAGATTTTAGGTGAATTATATTATTCAGTCCATATCTTGTTGCAACTTGCTCTTTTTGTGTGTGGATCATGGTGTTTTTGAGACAGAGTCATGTTTAACCAAGCCTATCTGGTTCTCTCATTTTAACCACTATATAGTATTTCACTGAGTACTTAAAACTCCTGTTTCCCCTGAGGGGAAGGAAGACAAACCTGCTGCCAGGAACTTCTGCACACATCTCACTCCACCGGCCCSGTTGGAAAATGTCCCCAGGAGAGGGACCTAGACATGAATTACTGGGTGACAGGAGCACCTTCAGCTTTCCCAGTCTTCCCAGAGGGCTCACAGGAGGTAGCTCCCACAGTAATACATGATCTGTTTTCTGGTCCTKGCCAACTCTTAGTGATGAGGGACTTAGATCATTTCCCAATTTAAGGAGTAGGAACCGGTAACTCATTATTTATTTATTTATTTATTTTTAAAATATTATTTTTTAGTTGTAGTTGGACATAATACCTTTATTTTATTTATTCATTTTTATGTGGCTAAGGATTGAATCCAGGGCTTTGCATGTGCTAGGCAAGCCCTCTACCSCTGAGCCACAACCCTAGCCTGATAACTCATTATTTTAATTTGCRTTTATAGTTGTATTTCCCCATCAAAGAAATTGAACATTTTCATATTTATGCTACTGACATTAAGTTTTCTTCCTCTGTGAATTTGTTCTTCACATCCTTTGCCTTTTTCTGTTGTAAGGCTTTTGTCTTACTGGTTTATAGAAGTTTTGTAAACAGTATAATCTGGATATTAATCCCATCACTGAACATTTAAGATAATTGTGGGAAGCCATTCTTGCACATGATTGGGCACCTCCCTGACTGGRTGTGAGGCGTTCTGGCCAAACTGTGTTGGAGCTAATCCCCACCCTCTCCAGGTGCAAGAGCTTGTCCATGTTGGGGGTGTGACTGACCATTGACCCTGAGACCAATCACTGACCCTGACCTTGGAATACTGCCCCCCTCTACCTTCATTGGATGGAATTTTCCCCTGAATTTCTTGTTCCCCAATAAAAGGCTACTCCCTGGCTTGCTCTCTCTCTCTCCTGCTAGTCCTGAGTAAGCCTTGCTGCTCCACCAGGTGGCTTGAGGCAGGAGCCAGAGGGGAGAGCCCTCTSGGACCTGGTCATAGAAAAAGGTAATTGAGTCTGTGTGTTTATTTGGATCTCACTAGTTAACTTCTATGCTATGAACCTCTTTAATGAAACCAGYGTGCTGGTCSAGAGGTGGAGATAATTGCTGATGTTATTTCATTTATTTTTTAAAATATACTTTTGTTTTTAATTGACACATAGTAATTGTGCATATTTGTAGGGTATAGTGTGACATTTCTATATATGTAGACAATGTGTAATGATCAGATCAGGGTAATTGGCATATTGATCAGATCTTGATTGTTTCTTTGTGTTGGGAACATTTAAACTCCTCTCTACTAGCTATTTTGAAATGTTCAATTAACTGTGGTTGTCCACCATAGTTATCCTGCTCAGTTCTAGAACATTAGAAGTTATTCCTCCACAGATATGATTGCACTTAAATCTACCACCTTGCTAGTTATTTTCTGTGGGTTCCAAGTGTTTAATAATACTTTTTTCTCCATTTTGAGGGGGCCAGTTTTGAGGCTATTTTTGAGTAAGTCTATTTTTATGTTAATATTCTACTTYTTAAAGTTACAGTTCACTTATTACTTACATCTCTAAATGACTGCCCTAAGTTTTACAATATATGTATCCTTAATTTTTAACAGCGTACTTTACATCTGGTGCGATAACCTCACAATAGGTCATCCTTACCATCTTTTGTGCTATTGTTAGCACACATTGTAGGTTTATACAATTGTTCCTTGGTATCTTATGGGAGACTGGTTCCAGGACTCATGGAGGATCCCCAAATCTGCAGATATTTAAATCCCTTATATAAGATAGCATAATATTTGAATATAATCTATACAATCTTGCTATATATTTATTTTATTTATTTTTTTAAAGAGAGAGAGAGAGAGAGAGAGAATTTTTAATATTTATTTTTTAGTTCTCGGCGGACACAACATCTTTGTTTGTATGTGGTGCTGAGGATCAAACCCGGGCTGCACGCATGCCAGGCGAGCGCGCTACCGCTTGAGCCACATCCCTAGCCCCTTGCTATATATTTTAAATCAATACTAGATTACTTATGATCCTAAAACAATATGAATGTCGTATAAATAGTTACATAGTATTATTTAGGGGATAAGACAATAAAAAATGTCTATACAAGTTCATTGCAAGCATAAGTTTCCCCCTAAATATGTTGCCTTAGGGTGGTTGAATTCACAGATGCGGGACCCTTGAATACAGAGGCCAACTGTAGTCCCTGCCACCATCTGTAGTTTCAGTTACTTATGGTGAACTGTGGCTGAAAATATTAAGTGGAAAATTTCAGAAATAAACAGTTGCTAAGTTAAATTGCACACCATTCTGGGTAGTGTGATGAGATGCATCCCATGCAGGACCTGAATCATCCCTTTGTCCAGTGTATCCACACTGTATACACTCCTCACCCTTYAGGCACTTAGTAGCCCTCTATCAGTTCGACTGTGGTATTGCAGTGCTTTGTTCAGGTAATCTTTATTTTATTTAGTAATGACCTCAAAGTGCTGGAGTAGTGATGCTGGCAATTTTATTAAAATATGTTGTTATCATTGCTTATTTTATTATTGTTGTTAATATCGTAATATACCTAATTTATAAATTAAAATTTATCACACTTGTGTATGCATGATTAGGAAAATAGTATATACATAATTGTATCCATGGTTCTGTATCCACAAATTTAACTAATCTCAGGAAATGTTCTTTAAAAATCGCATCTGTACCTACCATGTACAGACTTTTTTTCCTTATCATTATCACCTAAACARTAATGTACAACAACTGTTCATATAGTATTTACATTGTATTATGTATGACAAGTAATCCAGAGATGATTTAAAGTTTACAGGAGGGTGTACCTGGATTCTTCACAAACACTACTCCATTTCTTAGAAAGGGCTTGAACATTCTTGGATTTTGGGATCACAGCAAGGTCCTGGAACCAAAGCCCCTTGAGTTCTGAGGCACAACTGTGTGTGGTTCAGTACTATTTGAGGTTTCAGGSTTCCTCTGGGAGCCTTGGAGTGCATCCCCTGTGGACAAAGGGGCACTACTAAATGTGTCATAATCTCCACAAGACATTGTGGTTGTACACATGGCAAATATCTTTTCCCAGTTTCTCTCATGTCTTAATATTTTTCACAGTAATTGTTGCACAGTTTTTAAAAAATATATATTTTTTTTAGTTGTAGATGGACACAATGCCTTTATTTTATTTATTTATGTGTTTTGTATGTAGTGCTGAGGATCGAACCCAGTGTCTCACACATGTGAGGAACTGGTGATTGAACTGAGGGATGCTGAACCACT